ACTAATATTTCTATATTTTTTTATACAAAAAAAAACTGACCTTGACTATTAAATAGAACCCAAAATCAGAAGAAACTGGTGTCGCTGGAACTTAAATAGAAGTCTAAGATGGATCTATTTATAATATGATAATTTATATGGTAGTTCGACAAATGAGTTGTTAGTTTATCATTTTAATATCGATTATACTTGATTAGCTAAATAATATTCACTAATATTTTTGTAGTTTTTTATCTTGTTGTATGTTTAAAATATTAAAACACTAAATTGTATTAAGAATTAACATCTAATGTTGCGATATTTTTTCTATAAAGAATTACTATAAATAGAGTGTATTTAATGATAATGGCGGGAAAAGATTGCTAAAAATGATGTAAGTCAATTCTTATTTTATTTATATATATAATTTTTGAAAATTATAATGTGACATAAAAAATGTTTGCTTGGGTAGTTATAACACAAAATCGTGTGACATAAAAAATGTTTGCTTAATATTATTAAAGTAAAAAGTAAAAATACTAAATAATATGGTAAATATTTCAGAATGCGTTTGTTTAGACGTATGATGATTTCAAAAGATAAGTTTTTCATCATAAAAGACGCAAAAAAATCGAGATAACAAAAGCAAAAAAATCTCTACATGATTTGGACAATAGTAAACCGAATGATATAGCAGTGATGAAAATCTTTACCATTCTCATCGGTTTTCTTTTATTTAAAACGTGTAGAGATCTTGTAGAACCGTTCTCTAATGTTGTATTTATCTTGTGGAATTGTACGTTTGTATTTATCTTGTAGAATCTTTCTCTAATTTTGCGTTAAATATGCTTAGGATTAAAACGTGTTGAGTATTTTACAATATTAAACAACACGCAATAATGGTATCTACATATTTGGGTTAATATTGATCTAAATTAAATGAATAATGTAAACTAAACGGATTTATATAATGGTGTATCATATCGACAGAGTTTGGAACCACGATTTTCGTGTATTTATCTTTTTAAATCATCATCAAAATTTTCAGCAAATTTGGTTCTACTCAATGTGTGTTGAATTTTATATTTAACAATATAAAAGAAAACAAAATTAGGGCATCTATATATATGGGTATCTTTACCTTTAAATTAAAGGCGAATTCAAACTATTTGTGATGTCTTACATGGTAGATTTAATTTTTTGAATTTATAATAAGCAAATGTTTATTATTATTATTATTATTGTTGTTATTATTATTATTATTATTATTTATTATTATTATTATTATTATTATTATTATTATTATTATTATTATTATTTATTATTATTTATTATTATTATTATTATTATTATTATCATAGTAATAGTAATTAAAAATTTATATTAACATGAATGTTAATATTACACGGGTACTTAAATAATTGTTACGAAAAACTGAATAATATATGTCATTTTTGTACGGGTATATCGCAAAAATATATCAGTAAATGATATTTATACTGATATAAATATATCAGTATGGTTACGAAAAAATGTTAATACCAATGTACGGGTATATCGAAAAAATATTTATAAATGTACGGGTTCATTTTCAGTATGACATACTGAAAATGTTACTTCATTTAAGTGAAATATTTAATATATCAGTAACTATTTTTCGTAACTTAAATGAAAATGCCAACTTATCAGTAATTATATTTATGGGTATTTAATACACGTATTTAGTACCCGTACATGGGTACTAAATACCAACTTTTAAGTACCCGTACTAAGTACCAACTTTTAAGTACCCTTACTTAAAAGTCGATATTCACGGGCGTTATTAATTGTCGAATAACTAATTAATCTATTTAATAGTAACAAAAATAAATATATATTAAATAAAATAAAGAATACTTCACAAGACTATATTTATAGTTTTTTTAATTCACAATAAATTTTTTATCTTTTTTTCACTTTTTGTTGGACAATCAATTTTTTATAAACACACCAATTTAATACCTCTTATTCTCTCGTTTCCTAATTAATGAAAAGACAAAATGCCTTAAGTTGAATTCAATTGTCAAAAAAATGTTATTGAAGTAATGTACCGTACATGGGTAATACATGTATTTCATTACTAAATACATGAGTAAGAAATAAAATTAAAATACCCATGTACGGGTACTTAATTCATGAAAAGTTGACATTTTCATTTATGACGGGTACTTAATACATGTATTAAGTATTTAGTACTCATGCCAACTTATCAGTAATTTTTTATGGGTATTTAAGTTGAATATCAATCTACACGAGATATTTTTTCGTAACTATCCACACGAGATAGTTTATTCATTTAAGTTGAATAATCCCCCGTGTATATGCAAAAATATATCATCTTAGGGATAAGTGCAAGCAAAGTGTACTCAACTTCGTCGACCCTCATAAACACCATCAATTGCTCTTTTTCTGGGTGCCAAAGCCTTTCCGCAGAAGGAGACGAAAGAAAGGTCCGGCTGAACAATCCGAGCATGCAACATCAAATTTGTTACCTAAAAAATTGAGATTCCTATGATTTCGATTTCATAGTTGAGAAAATCCGGTGGTTTCCTGAATAATTGGAAAGAAAATTCGGCCAAATTGTTTATATTGGAATGATTCCAGTATTTTGTTTTTTCTCTGATTCTGTTTTGGAATGATTTAAAATAAAAAGAAAATCAAAAAGTAAATAATGAATTTTTTTTATTAGGTTTCCACAAATGGGAAGTCAATGGTGTTGTTGACCAGCTTTTTAAAAGTTTCCACAAATGATTTATTGACCTCTCTTTTTCAATATATATAGATATGACAAAAATAAAATTTTTAAAAAAAGTTCACTAAAGATAGGAAAGTAAATAAATTTCATTTGGAAAAAAAAAAAAAATTAGATTCAATTCTTTTCATATTTGTAGTAATATGACAAAAATAAAATTCTAAAAAAACGTTTACTACAGTCTGGAAAGTAAATTTCATTTAAAAAAATATTAGATTACAATTCGTATTTTTTAATATAAATTCTAAACTTTGATTCCATGAGGTAGCACAATTTAAGTTTTCTTAAAACTATAATTGATAGTAATTTAACCTTGTTAAAACTCAAAAATAGTACCTTAAGAAAGTAAAACTAATTTGCACAATTTTTATTCCAATTAATAATCGGACAAATTGAAATTTTTTATAATCTTACCAATAAAAAATTGGATATGTAACGTTAAAAGCATAAACTAAATCTCTAAAAGTATCTGCATTGATCTAATTAACAAATGATATGTACATAAATTTCACTATAAATAGACCAATGCAAACCGTGATTATTGCATTCAACACACTCGATTTACGAAGTAGATCGTAGAAATACAACCTTTAATTTTAAATTATTTAAAAATGACGCCACCACGGGGTTTGATCAAGTCTAGAAGTCCAATAGGCCATTGCTCAAGCTTTGTATTATTCGCATGTTTCAAAAATCGTCCGAGAATATTTCTTATAAAAATGTGCTTGAGTTAATTTTGCATGTTAATGAGGTTTGTCACTTCTTTCTATTATTAATTTCTTTTTTTTTTCCCAGATGTATAGTATTATAATTTGGTTTTTCAAAGGGTTGGCGGATACCCGGTCTCATTAGGCATGTTCACATACCCAAGTTCATTGACGAGCTTCAGGATGGAGAAGTTTATGTCTTTCATCATTATCAAGTGGAGAGCAACATTGACATTCACAAATCAACTATTGACAAATATCGCATCATACTTCGTGGGAGAATCGAATTCTATAAATTTAATGGGCCATTTCCATTGTTTCGATTCTCTTTTATAAGTTTTCTTACTTTGCGTGCTGTAGACAACATCGATGAATCAATGTTGTTTGGTAAGCCCTATATTCATTTTTTTATGTAAAACTATTATTATGTTTAAATTCTTTTATATGAATTCTATATTCAATATAATTATGCAATTTTATTATATTCTATTATTTTTAGATGTTATTGGCTTCTGCAAATGCCACTTTCATATGTTGGGATAGAGAGTGTGAATGGATGATTGACAGTCATGTGAGCTTCTAAAACGTTAATTTTCTGCGTTAAAGATGACTAATATTTAATTAATAAATATTAAATAGTTAATCTACATAGCCCAGACGACTGAGACGCTCTCCATCCAGCCCTAAAGACGGAACCTTGACCCTCCCCCCAGCGACGCCGAGATGCCGGCGATTGGAAGTCACAAACCGACCCTAGCAGGAGCAAGAGATCGAGTACGGAGCAAGAGATCGAGCAGAGAGCTAACCTCAGGACCCGGCGAGAAGAACTGCCCCAATCCAAAGAGAACATATGCGGTTTGAGCCACCACCATTTCCAGACCCAGTACTCCTCCTTCCACACTACTCCGGGACGCCGTCGGACTTCGCACAGATCCGACCACTTGCTCGACCTGGCAAAGACCGCCTGAACCCCTAAGCAATCGACGGAAGAAAGAGAGCCCCCCGACTAAAACATGATTGTGCAACGAAGAGCCGTCCACCGACGACCCGGACGACAACAGAAAGAGGCTCAAAGCGGCTGAATTTGACGGGAGCTAGGGTTCGGCGATTTTGAAAATTTGGGAGAGGAGCAATCTCATTGGAGTGTTCTTATTTTGGGGTTTATTAATATGAAAGGTAGAAAAAATATTAATGATAGAATTTGTAACAGAAAATGGAAGAAAAAATCAAATAATTTTATTAAATATTTTGCCTACATATATATAGATTATTAAGTTTTAATTGGGCATCATATTAGACTCTGTATAATGGGTTAAGAGATTCAGTTGATACACAAAAAAGAAAGCCCAAGATGAATTACTAACCAATAAAATATGCTCCAATACTAAGAAGCCCAACATTAAGCTAGGGTTTCGTCTCATTCTCCTTTAAATGCTCTCTTCGTTGACCGCACAGCCCTTCTCTTACATCTCTCTCACACGGCACAAGGAACCATTTTGGCAACCCTATTTTTACCGGAAGAGACAGCCGCCGCCTTCATTCTTCCTTCATCTCTCGCACGGCAGAATCAGGAAATCCGATCGAAATCGATCGATCGACAGAAAAAGCATCTCCCTCCCCTAAAATTTTCCCGTCGATCATCTCTATCGGCTTTCACTTTTTACCAAATCTTACGGCCAAGTCGCCATCTTCCTCTTCCCCGACCGACCGACCTTCGGCAACCTTCCCCCAGCCGTCGTCTCCTTCGACCAACGTCCGGTCGCGTTGAAGCCAGCACCGTCGAGAGTAGCAGCCGTCGAACCCCTGTCCACGAGCAGTCTTGCTGGCGTCCGTTCACCATCCATCGTCGCCTCCGCAAGTTCCACGCGCAGCCGCAGCCGCCGAACGGGCGAGCCCTACCGAACGGACAGAGAGCAGTCATTTCCGGTAAGGAGCAGCGAACGCCGGGCAAACCGCGACCCGGAACCGCCAACCACCAGATTTCCGGGCGACCAGACCAGTGGGCTGAGAGGTTTCCGAACACCTTCATTTGGCAGGTACTAGTCGCGGCTGAAACCAAACATCGCCGGCGCTACCAGGTCCGACCCGACCTTCAACTGCTGAGTTTTTCTTTCTGACGGCGGGCTGAGGCGCCATTTTCTGATTGAAGAGTACCCGGGCTGAGGGCCTGTTTCCGGTGATTTGAGCACCATCCGAGAGTGGGCTTTTCGTGGACTGAGGCGCCTTGATTTCTAACAGCCACCGAGAGCTTGAGCAGCGGCAGAACGTGTGGGTGTCCGGGCTGCAGCGAGCCGAGTCTTCCCGAGGCCGCTAGTGACCATGTTCGAATCTCAATTGGCTTTTCCTCTCCTCGTGTAGAATCGAAGAGTGTGGTAATCTCGATTTTCTCTTTTATTTTCGTTCGTTTAGATCCCTGTTTTGCGATGTGCGACTCGTTGGAGATTGAGAATCATGTTATTCTGAATTGTGGATTGCGAATCTTTTTGTGAACTGTGAATAGTGAATCTTGTGTAATCGAGACCTTGAGTAAATCTGTGGAATTGGTGGTTTCGGATCTTGTAAATGGAGATATGGTTATGTGAATAACTTGGTGTGAATAAATATTGATTTACTGGGATGTTGGGATCTTTGGATTTGAGTTATGTTGGTGAGATTAATTGGTGAAGAAATTGTGTTAAAGTTGTGAAATTTCATGGACTGGGAACCTTTGTATTGCCTTGGACTTATGTTGAAACTCTTAGAAAAGGAGATTACATTCGTGTGCTTAACTTGGGAAAAATAATGGACTTGAGACTTTGTTTTGTTGCCTTAGGATTGTGTTGAGAACATTGAAAAATTTGAGAAGTTTGGATCTTTAAAAGTGAAGAATTATTTGTGTTAATTGGTGAAGTTGGGCTCTTGTGAATTTTGGTTATATTTGGTTATATGAGCAGTATGCTGACAATTGTGGATTATTGCTGGAGCAGAGAGTGAAAAGAAGACCTGCAATCAGGTAAATTTTACATTATGTGAAAGCAAATGAATAATTTCTTCCAAGTAGGGGGAAAGCTGTGGCTAGAAATTAATCTAAAATGTTTTCATGTGCTTGTACAGATATCAACACCTAACTTTTCGATCTCAGATCAAAGTGCAAGGGCAGGTTCTGCAAGGATCAACTTAAAATGGGGTGCTTGGCAAAATTAAACGGATTCGAAGCTATATCTTGACTTGGTCGTTTTTCGGGTATATATTTACAGATTCTGCGATTTTCTAGCGATTTTCTGTTTCGTTATTCCTTGGCTGCCAAAATTATTTAATTTATGTTTTTCTGTATGTGTTTTGAGGTGCCTGTTAATAGAAGATATTATCTATTGTTTAGTCTCCAGGATTTGTCAAGATAAAACACATCATCTACATAGTTGCTGAAATGCCCTATTCCTGTTATAGATCCCTAATGTGTAGGGTTCAGGGCCCTATTCCTGTTATAGATCCCTAATGTGTAGGGTTCAGGGTTCAGGGTTCAGGGTTCAGGGTTCAGGGTTCAGGGTATCAGGGTATTAGGGTATCAGGGTTCAGGGTTTAGGGTTCAGGGTTCAGATTCCTTTTTATAGATAAGATAAGACTAGTGTACAACACCCATGTATTACATGGGTGCGGACGGAGCCTCATTTATGGACGGATTCATAAAAGTAGGATGGGTATCCGGACAAGTCAAATTCAGCACCGTCCCGGCCGGCGCCCACCCCTTACATAAATAATCAAAATATTATAGATAATCTGAACCTAAATATATTTGGATTAGAAGTAAACTAAATCTACCCAAGCCTAATAACGAAGCATGTATTTTTGCCACATATGATCCCGAAGCATGCGAGCCTGCCACATAGGCTCAGCACGTTCTCAATTAATATATAGGGGGATAAGAGAATAATAGATAGAGGAAGATTTTGCGCAACCAACCACAATTCATTCACGTTCTTCAAAGGTTCTGTAGCTTCAAACTACACATACGGTATCTGCAAGTGTAGCAGCCACTAGAATGTTGTTACAATAAAATATGGGGAAATTTTTGTGTCTCCTACACGAAATTAAAAATATTACAATAATACTAATCATAAACAAATGATTGTAACTCTACCTAATTCTCTATTCTTTACTGCATTAAAGCCTAAAAATGGTTACCTAAAAGGGTGGACCTCCATCCCCTTTTTTTTCCATGATTTCAGGTATGTTACTAATAAAAATTAAAAAAAAATTTATGAATATGAAATGAAAAATCAGAGATTAAAGGGTTTTGCGTAGAAAATGAAAATATATGAAATTAGAATTTGAACTATACTCTTCATCAAACCACATAATGATAAAAACATGTATGATAATTCACGCAGCTGTCCAGGTGGGTATATATTGCATTTATGTTAGTATATATTCAGTGTATGTTGCAATGAAAAATATTACATTTATGTTAGTATGTTAGTATATATTCAGTGTATATTGCATTTATGTTAGTATATATTCAGTGTATGATAAACGTGAGGTATATTTTGTAATTTTATAAAGAAAAAAAACGAGAAGGGTCGATGATAAATATTTCTAGTTTATTAACAGTATATTTCTAGTTTATTAACATATATTTCACGTTTTATTAACAGTGTATCTTTCACGTTTTTATTAACAGTATATTTCTAGTTTAAATTTTTTTTCGTCTCCTCCTTCTGAATTTAACTTTCGAATTCAATTCTTATTCACCGTTCATCATTTTTAAATAAGCTCGGCAAAAGACATATGAAGATTTTGGCCGTTCATCATTCTTAAATAAGCTTGGCAAAGACATATGAAGATTTTGGTGATCCAATTAAACCACGTAAAATAACAAAATAAGAGAAGTAAAAAAAGGGAATCTTCGTTCATTTCATATCTAGACTTTTTTCTGTAAAAATCACGAGAATTTAGTAACAAAAAGATTAAAAAAATTAGTCCAGATCGTTGCCCACGACCTCGTCCTTTCGGAGAAAGGATACGAATTTGCCGGAGATCGGATGACAGAGAAAGAGATAGAGAGATCGTGTGCTTCGACAGCTTGCCGCCGGTGCCGCTTCCTGACCTTCGTCTTCGGCAGTGTGTGTGTGTGTGTGAGAGAGAGAGAGAGAGAGAGAGAGAGAGATTTTACCTCTTTTCGGTGGGAGAATGAAATGAGTGGAAGTTGGAAAGATAAGCATCCAACAGGACAATATCTTTGAGAAATTATTGCGCATTCAATAGGGCAATATTCTCCATAATTAACAAAAATAAAAATAAGGTATATGTGCAAATAATATGCAGAATTTAGTAGAGTTGGAAATAAATATTTATTGGGTGTATAAATCTATATATATATAATTGCTGGCAAGATTCAATAAATTTTATTCAGCAAACAATTAATAAAAATAGAACTTCATTTAATAAAAATCTTTATAACAATAAATTTTATTCAGTCAGTAATTAATAAAAATAGGGCTTCATTTAATAAAAATCTTTATGAGCAACGTTCAAATGACAGTTACACAAGTAAAACATTATTATCATTAATTTTTTTTTATTTTGTAACAGTTTTACAAGATTTTAAATTTTCTAAATGTACAATATTAAATTATTTTACAACTAATATTCCTATTAGTTTTATATATAGTTATACAAAAAAAAAAAAAACTGATTTATATGAATGTTAAATAATTTATATTTATATTATACATTTACATAAACTCAAAATTTTAAAATGTAATACATATATACTTTATCTAATTAAATTTTTAAATATCATATTCGTATATATAATGTATAAATTTTTGTTTTCCTCTATGCACGTGCACAGGATCGAATACTATGTGGTGTATAATCTATATATAAAAAGGTTGTTGTTAAAATACCTTTTTAGAAACTTTTGACCAAAAAAAATTACTTTTGACATTCTAAATATAGAAACCATATTTAAAGCATTTATAAGATACAAAATTTAAAAAAAGTCATACTTGAATTCAAAAATTAATTGATTAGAGATATTATTGGGATATGGGATAAGTCACAAGAGATGATACAAAAAAAATTCGGTCCATTAAATATTATTTAAACAACTTTAAAGAGATAAGTCTCTATGGAATATCATTACATATTATTTAGAGCATTTTTTTCTCTCTCAAATCTTTCCATTTGAAATGAAAATTACGAAAACCACTCTTTGAATTCCATTTGAATTCAAAATTGATAATCATTTGTGTTTTGGGAAAATCGCACGCAACAATAATCATTTGTGTTTGTTATTGACCCAAAATTACTTTTTGAATTCCATTTGAAATGAAAATTGTTGTATATAACCATTTGTGTTTTTATTGACCGAAATGTATTCCATTTGAATTCAAAATTGCTGTATTTTAATATTTGAACAATAACCATTTGTGTTTAAAATTTACAGAATGTGCAGATAGATGGTTAATTATCCATAGTGTTTTATCAAAACAAACTTAAACAATTCATATTATTAACGTGATTTAGAATCTATGGATAACTCATTATAGAAAATTGCACGGTGGAATAATCTGTTATGGAACAATAATCTGTTACACCAGATTAATATCACAGTTTGGAATTTAATGTCATTCATTTAAAAAACATAACAAATAGCGAGTCCTACGGTGGATAAATCACAAGAGTTAACATCAGATTATTCACAATTTGAATTTTTTGAACATCCAGCTAAAATCACGTCCAACTAATCTCTGATAAATCATTTTTTACTAATCTTATCATCATATTAGAGTTTGATTTTATTGGAACTCTGAAATTAAAATCACGTGCAATGAACCTTATCAAGAGAGATTAACGTGAGTCCAACTAATCTTATCATCTAATGGTTATCAACTTTCATCCCATGACTATAAAATAAACGTCCAAGCGTATAACCCTATTGTTTTTTACACTTCACGTTGATTAAAAAAGGTAAAAAATAGATAATAACTCTATTATTTTTTAGACTTAAACGGACAAGGGTGTGAAAATAACTCATTTAATATCTTTGTCCCGTGCATCTCACCGTACTAGTACTCTAAAATATGCCCAATGAAGGCCATCATTAATTTAGGGTTTCGCCTCATTCTCCTTTAAATGCTCTCTTCGTGCAGCCATAACCGCACACCCCCCTCTCTCTCTAGCCCCTCGGTTTCTATCTCATCACCGATCCTTCCAGGGCGTCACCTACAACATCCCCGTCATCATGTGGCTCATGGATTCTTCCCCAGAAGAGAGGGCCATTCATATGCAAGGTGAGGTTCCTAGTATGGCTTCTAGGGCTACACAACATTGCTCATTAAGTTGAGTTGAGGTCTGTTTTTATGTAGCCAATTTTCCTTATTTTTTTATGTTGCTGTTTTGGTATGGTGAAATGGCTAGATAAGTATATTCTCTGTACTTGGGTTAATTTCAGCCTCGTATATGCATTTTGCAGCTTCTCTTTTGGTATTGGTAGAAAACAGGATTCCCTTCATTGAATTTGTATTGATATGACAAATACTAGAGGTCAATAAATGTTACAGATTATGTTAAGTTGATGTCAAATACATGCAAGCACCTAATATACAATTCCATTTATCTATTAGTTTTCTGTATTTTACAAATTCTGATTTCATGTTGGTGTTCAATGTTGATAAAATAGAATTTATCTCAATGTTTCTGGTATTTGGGTTCATGAATTGACTTTTTGATTCAATCCAAATTTCCTAAGCGTCCACTCTAGAGCCAAGGCATTCCAAAATTTTCTGATATTTTATGAAAATCAGTTTGAAACCATTGAAAACACTACTGCAATTGGAATGATAGCGAATTCCGCATTTCTTAAGAATCATTAAGGCAGGCTGGCTTCTTGATGCCTCAATCTATCTTTTAGCAATTTTTAAAAATCAAAGTTAATATGTTATTTGGCAAATTTTAGTTAAAAAGATAGTAGATCTATTATAAAGTATTTCCTTTTCTTGTAGAACTAGTACAGAGCCCGTGCGATGCACGGGGTGCACAATTTTAAGGTTATTTATACAGGCTTATAATTATATACATGAATAAAGAAAAATGTACGGGATATATATAGTACGTGACTCGTGCGAAGCACGATATATATTTATTTGGAGAATATTATATTATAAGATGCAATATTCAATAAAAGTTTATAATACGCAAATGCTATTTATCCAGGCTTATAATTATATACATGAGTAAAGAAAAATGTACGGGATATATATAGTACGTGACCCGTGCGAAGCACGATATATATTTATTTGAAGAATATTATATTATAAGATGCAATATTCAATAAAAGTTTATAATACGCAAGAAAATTGTACAATGTTCAATAAAAGTTTTATAATAATCAAGTGGAGTCTTAAAGTCTCTTGTACATTAAGACTACTGACAAAATAATATTTAATCAATGAGTTTCCTTTCCTTGTAGTCAAATTGTGAATGTGATTTGAGGAGTACAACAAATCGATATATAGCCGACTTGTTTTTTCATTGTAGTTTTTTTTTTCTTTTTTTTTATAATGAATTTAAAGATATTCTAAAATATAGCAAAAATTAATTTTTTTATTACAATTAGGAATTTTACTAAATATAAACTCTCAATCTATGGTGTTAATCAACGTTTAAGTCTAAAAAATTAGGAATTTTTACCTTTTTTAATCAACGTTTAAGTCTAAAAAACAATAGAGTTATTATAAGTTTTTTTTTCTACATTTTTTAAAACATTAAATATGAGCATGTTAGGGCTAACTTGTAAAATAATTAATATATTATCTCACTAAAACATTTATACAAATAAAAATTTAATTTTAGCATATAAATTTATCCCTTGATATAAGAGAAAGTAACAGTTTTACTTATTGTTGTTCACCATATAATATTTAATTATTATTTTATTATATAATAAAAAAGAAATATTGTTAAATAGTGTAGTAGAATTATTATAAAATTATATGATTTTTTTTTACAATATGAATTTAATATTTTTTATGATTTGATAATATAAACAAATCAATACTTAACTTTGACAAATAAAACAAATAAATACTTTAGTAAGTATTTAATGTATATACTAAATAGGAATATATTTGGTATAATCAAATACCAAATATAATCAAATAAGTTAAAGTGTACATTTTTATTTGGTATTTGATTTTTTTTATTATTAAAATCTTTTTATTATACTTACCTTTTTAAAATAAAACAAATAAATAAATCAATTAAATAAATAAAATATTATAATACCCAAATAGCAATGACATTTAATGCAGTTGACTTTTCTGGATAGTAAATGTAGTAAATATAATCTCCTTTTATATAAGTATAGATTGTATAATACGGAAATAGGAATGCAATAAATACTGTTGATTTTTCTTTACACTAAATCTGGTAAATGGTATACCTTTTAATATAAGTATAGATGTTGATGAATGTTTAATATAGATACCTTCAGTTAAGTTATGTTTGTCTGTTTTTAATCGGCTTGTTGAGTAATTCTTTTAAATTATTTGACATTCAGTCTTATCATGATTTCAAATCTGACGCTATGTTATATGTTTTTGTACATATGTCCAAACAATTGAAATCAACTCAGCAAACCACATTTAACATAGACATGTATCGATTTTTGTAAGGACAACAATTATTCTTGATGTAGAAACAGAGTACTATAACATATAAGTTCAAATTAACTATATACATTTGTTAATCATACTAACTATGATATATTTTGCATGAATTGTGTCCAAGAACCATATGCTACAACCTTGCAGTCATCGCCATGCTAGAGGATGAATTCGGTGAAGGATAAAAAAATGACATAGGTACATTAATTAGTTTTCCTTTATCAATGAAAATTATGGATCTAATGGGTCGGATGCATTTCCATGTATATTTATGATTCAAATTATCCTTATAATCTCTCGACAGGGTCAGCTGCTAGATGTGGATCTTTTAAGAGCATGATGGGCCCGGGCGGCTCTTGGAAGGTGTTGCAGCATCAGAGGCTCGTTTCACTGCCGACATCGCAACTGTAAGTATAGCTAAGAATAGCCCTGTTATTTTACATAATATATTCTTATATAAATTGCATGGTCCTTGATATAGCTTCACAAGTATTCTCTTTGTGGTGTCTTTCCTTTTGATAATGTGAATGTGGTTCATAAAGAAAATATAGTCCGGGGATGGATTGTTCACATAATCACATTGATGCTCGGAATATTAGTTGCCCGTGTGGTTTGACAAGCTATTTGTACCAACCTTGTCCTTTTTTTTTTTTTTTTTNAGTTATTTGGCAGCCTTCTAAGTAATTGAAGGATGCTTTGGTGTGGTTTGCTGTCATTAGCTTTGAGCAAGGGGACATATATGATGGCAATTGAAATGCTCTATCTTTCTCAAATATGAATTTGAGTAGCAGTCATTTGTCGAAAATTGTTCTTAAAAAGATATTTCAATTTATTCAGGAACATCTTATGTATTTATGAGATTGATATATTATGTAACTAGCCTTTTGAGGAATGGTCCAAGAAGGCAGGAGAGCTTGAGGGTAGACGTGGCCAACTGTCGGGTCACGGCCCGGCCCGGCCTGGCGGTTCGTTGAACCGCCGTTTTTTTTCTAAAAATATTAAAAAAGCAACTATGACCCGTCGAAAAACCCGGAACCGGCCCGGAATGACGGGTAAATAATGAATAAAAAACGACCCTTAATCGACCCTTAAGGAGTTCCGGGCCGGTTTGTAACCCGCCTTATCCTGGCATGTCTGGGCCAGTTCGGCGGCCAGGTTGGCCCGTGGCCACCTCTACTTGAGGGAGTGATCAAAACTTTGCATGTGAGTGCAAGTAGTAGTTCTATTTTATCCAAAAAAATGCACATATGCTGAATCCTTAATTAAAAGAGGCATTAACTTGCTTTTTCGTGACAAATAATAAAAGTGACAAATAATAAAAATATGAGAGTATATATTATTATATATTTTAGTATGACATGTGTTACTTGTGCGACTTATATGTGTTATATTATAATAAATTTTCTACCTTATAATATATAACTACATTAAACATAAATATATTAATTGATAAATATTTTTATTTTCTACTTAATTTTTATAAATAATTTTATCATTATTATAAAGATAAATATAATTTATTTATTTTATATATATAATATGGATGTCAAATCGAATCTCGTCAAAAGATGATTAATTTGATATATATATATATATATATGTAAAACCGATAAGAAATACAAATTTAATTCAAAATTAGGAAGTTACCATATAAAAACCACCTATTTAGTAATTATCTTGGAGAAACGGTTGTAAGTGTCTTGTATTTGTGTTATTATTTTTTACCGATTTGAAATGTTTGCAAATAAATTATTTTGTTAGTATATGTGCAATCTTTCTTTGTTTCCATAGGTACCCAACCAATCCATCTGGGCCACGGGCTCTCAAATTTACTGATCCAACAATAGAATTTAATTGTATGATCCAAAATGATACATGGGCCTGTCTGCTTCCACTTGAACTGGGTATATCACTTTTTTTTAAACAATAACAAATTTAAAATAAATTAAATAATGGTCGAATTAGGGTTCCCAGCATGCCTATCTTTATATCTATGAGAACTAATGTTATTTTATATCTGCGAAGCTGCATCAACATCGCCGGCGGCGACAACCCCTTCGTTTGATTTTTATTTTTGTTCTTTCCTTTTTGCATTTGTTTTGTCCTTAATATTGTTCTTATTGTTGAAAATCTGGTTAGATAGTTGGTGGTGCCTTCATAATCCCAGATAAGCTGTTAATTTGGTTCTTATCTGATTCATAGGAGGCCCAAATCAATCAATGGGAGTTTCGCTGATAACGCCGTCGTTTTTAACTAATGTTCGAGACGGCGTTTAATAGTAGCTTTGCCATACATTATTATGCTTTTTTTTCTTTCAATTTTTGGGTTTAGGTTAGTTGATGTTGTTTTTTTTCTTTCCTTTTTTACCTTTGTCGCAAAAGGAAAAACGCTCTTCTTTTTTGCCTGACAATGTTTGAAGTTGCTAATCACTAAAAAATATGGTTCATACTATTAGTTTGTATGAACTGATTGCAGACCGAATGGAAAAGTGAATCCGCTTGACAAGCGGATAATGTCAGTGATTATAGGCCATATAGATTCAGCACTTGATTTTTGTTTTTGTGTCACAGTAGTGCTTGAATTTTTTAACTTTTTCGGTTGTTAGTTTTAAGTTATCCTCAATTAAAGGTTTACTTTTACATTATACTAGTACAATACCCGTGTATTACATTAATGCTAATGGGTGAACGAAGTTTAGCCTAATTCAAAAAGAGCATTGCCCATATTTTGTTGTGGAGGTGGAATAAAGGCATACATCCTGGGTGGGTAGCCCGAACAAATCTATGGAGCAAGGGGGGCGAAGTAGGCTTCGTTCTCTTCTTGACCAACAAGAAAGCCGCACAAGTCAATATGTAACCTACGAAAGATCGTTTGCGGGTTTGGGTTCTGTAAGACTTCCACGCAAGCCCTCGGTCACCGAGCCGAGCTTTGGCATGACGTACGCGTGGAAAGGTTAGCAAGCGGAAAGAGCCTATTCCCCAGTACATCTATCACTTTCTTTCTATTTCTTATGAAGAGGCGGTGTAATTGAGGTGATTCGAGAAAAGATGGAATAGGAGGGCGTGTTTTTATAACGAACTAGCGGGCAAAGGATAGATGTAATTACTTGTTTATCAAGCCGGAGAAGAGAATTAACGCCAAGGCATCTTGAAAATGCATCCCCTTTCTTCTTTGACTTCTTTATGGGGCCCCTACTTTCCCTATAGGTGGGGAAGTTTTTAATGTGAAATATTCACCACCAGTCTGATGCACTGTTAGTAGTAAAGAATCAGGAAACAAGAAAATAAGTAAATTTATTGATGATATAATAATAGGGATGAAGATGTATGAAACTTCTCCAGCGGGAACTGAAAAATCTCTGCCCAGCAAGAGTACTTTACCCAACTGCTCCAATGGCACAATGTCAATTTTGAGATGTATGGTGTGGAGAAAGTAAATATATTTTATTTTTGTCTCCAATGGTTAAATGTCAATTATGAAATAAATTGACACACGTAAGATAATAATTGGTTGGCGGATATAAATTATTTGAAATGTTTGCAAATAAATTATTTTGTTAGTATATGTGCAATCTTTCTTTGTTTCCATAGGTACCCAACCAATCCATCTGGGCCACGGGCTCTCAAATTTACTGATCCAACAATAGAATTTAATTGTATGATCCAAAATGATACATGGGCCTGTCTGCTTCCACTTGAACTGGGTATATCACTTTTTTTTTTAACAATAACAAATTTAAAATAAATTAAATAATAGTCGAATTAGGGTTCCCAGCATGCCTATCTTTATATCTATGAGAACTAATGTTATTTTATATCTGCGAAGCTGCATCAGCATCGCCGGCGGCGACAACCCCTTCGTTTGATTTTTATTTTTGTTCTTTCCTTTTTGCATTTGTTTTGTCCTTAATATTGTTCTTATTGTTGAAAATCTGGTTAGATAGTTGGTGGTGCCTTCATAATCCCAGATAAGCTGTTAATTTGGTTCTTATCTGATTCATAGGAGGCCCAAATCAATCAATGGGAGTTTCGCTGATAACGCCGTCGTTTTTAACTAATGTTCGAGACGGCGTTTAATAGTAGCTTTGCCATACATTATTATGCTTTTTTTCTTTCAATTTTTGGGTTTAGGTTAGTTGCTGTTGTTTTTTTTCTTTCCTTTTTTACCTTTGTCGCAAAAGGAAAAACGCTCTTCTTTTTTGCCTGACAATATTTGAAGTTGCTAATCACTAAAAAATATGGTTCATACTATTAGTTTGTATGAACTGATTGCAGATCGAATGGAAAAGTGAATCCGCTTGAGAAGCGGATAATGTCAGTGATTATAGGCCATATAGATTCAGCACTTGATTTTTGTTTTTGTGTCACAGTAGTGCTTGAATTTTTTAACTGTTTCGGTTGTTAGTTTTAAGTTATCCTCAATTAAAGGTTTACTTTTACATTATACTAGTACAATACCCGTGTATTACATTAATGCTAATGGGTGAACGAAGTTTAGCCTAATTCAAAAAGAGCATTGCCCATATTTTGTTGTGGAGGTGGAATAAAGGCATACATCCTGGGTGGGTAGCCCGAACAAATCTATGGAGCAAGGGGGGCGAAGTAGGCTTCGTTCTCTTCTTGACCAACAAGAAAGCCGCACAAGTCAATATGTAACCTACGAAAGATCGTTTGCGGGTTTGGGTTCTGTAAGACTTCCACGCAAGCCCTCGGTCACCGAGCCGAGCTTTGGCATGACGTACGCGTGGAAAGGTTAGCAAGCGGAAAGAGCCTATTCCCCAGTACATCTATCACTTTCTTTCTATTTCTTATGAAGAGGCGGTGTAATTGAGGTGATTCGAGAAAAGATGGAATAGGAGATGGAATAGGAGGGCGTGTTTTTATAACGAACTAGCGGGCAAAGGATAGATGTAATTACTTGTTTATCAAGCCGGAGAAGAGAATTAACGCCAAGGCATCTTGAAAATGCATCCCCTTTCTTCTTTGACTTCTTTATGGGGCCCCTACTTCCCCTATAGGTGGGGAAGTTTTTAATGTGAAATATTCACCACCAGTCTGATGCACTGTTAGTATTAAAGAATCAGGAAACAAGAAAATAAGTAAATTTATTGATGATATAATAATAGGGATGAAGATGTATGAAACTTCTCCAGCGGGAACTGAAAAATCTCTGCCCAGCAAGAGTACTTTACCCAACTGCTCCAATGGCACAATGTCAATTTTGAGATGTATGGTGTGGAGAAAGTAAATATATTTTATTTTTGTCTCCAATGGTTAAATGTCAATTATGAAATAAATTGACACATGTAAGATAATAATTGGTTGGCGGATATAAATTATTTGAAATGTTTGCAAATAAATTATTTTGTTAGTATATGTGCAATCTTTCTTTGTTTCCATAGGTACCCAACCAATCCATCTGGGCCACGGGCTCTCAAATTTACTGATCCAACAGTAGAATTTAATTGTATGATCCAAAATGATACATGGGCCTGTCTGCTTCCACTTGAACTGGGTATATCACTTTTTTTTTTTAACAATAACAAATTTAAAATAAATTAAATAATGGTCGAATTAGGGTTCCCAGCATGCCTATCTTTATATCTATGAGAACTAATGTTATTTTATATCTGCGAAGCTGCATCAACATCGCCGGCGGCGACAACCCCTTCGTTTGATTTTTATTTTTGTTCTTTCCTTTTTGCATTTGTTTTGTCCTTAATATTGTTCTTATTGTTGAAAATCTGGTTAGATAGTTGGTGGTGCCTTCATAATCCTAGATAAGCTGTTAATTTGGTTCTTATCTGATTCATAGGAGGCCCAAATCAATCAATGGGAGTTTCGCTGATAACGCCGTCGTTTTTAACTAATGTTCGAGACGGCGTTTAATAGTAGCTTTGCCATACATTATTATGCTTTTTTTTCTTTCAATTTTTGGGTTTAGGTTAGTTGATGTTGTTTTTTTCCTTTCCTTTTTTACCTTTGTCGCAAAAGGAAAAACGCTCTTCTGTTTTGCCTGACAATGTTTGAAGTTGCTAATCACCAAAAAATATTGTTCATACTATTAGTTTGTATGAACTTGCAGATCGAATGGTAAAGTGAATTCGCTTGACAAGCGGATAATGTCAGTGATTATAGGCCATATAGATTCATTCAGCACTTGATTTTTGTTTTTGTGTCACAGTAGTGCTTGAATTTTTTAACTTTTTCGGTTGTTAGTTTTAAGTTATCCTCAATTAAAGGTTTACTTTTACATTATACTAGTATAATACCCGCGTATTACATTAATGCTAATGGGTGAACGAAGTTTAGCCTAATTCAAAAAGAGCATTGCCCATATTTTGTTGTGGAGGTGGAATAAAGGCATACATCCTGGGTGGGTAGCCCGAACAAATCTATGGAGCAAGGGGGGCGAAGTAGGCTTCGTTCTCTTCTCGACCAACAAGAAAGCCGCACAAGTCAATATGTAACCTACGAAAGATCGTTTGCGGGTTTGGGTTCTGTAAGACTTCCACGCAAGCCCTCGGTCACCGAGCCGAGCTTTGGCATGACGTACGCGTGGAAAGGTTAGCAAGCGGAAAGAGCCTATTCCCCAGTACATCTATCACTTTCTTTCTATTTCTTATGAAGAGGCGATGTAATTGAGGTGATTCGAGAAAAGATGGAATAGGAGGGCGTGTTTCTATAACGAACTAGCGGGCAAAGGATAGATGTAATTACTTGTTTATCAAGCCGGAGGAGAGAATTAACGCCAAGGCATCTTGATAATGCATCCCCTTTCTTCTTTGACTTCTTTATGGGGCCCCTACTTCCCCTATAGGTGGGGAAGTTTTTAATGTGAATTATTCACCACCAGTCTGATGCACTGTTAGTAGTAAAGAATCAGGAAACAAGAAAATAAGTAAATTTATTGATGATATAATAATAGGGATGAAGATGTATGAAACTTCTCCAGCGGGAACTGAAAAATCTCTGCACAGCAAGAGTACTTTACCCAACTGCTCCAATGGCACAATGTCTATTTTGAGATGTATGGTGTGGAGAAAGTAAATATATTTTATTTTTGTCTCCAATGGTTAAATGTCAATTATGAAATAAATTGACACATGTAAGATAATAATTGGTTGGCGGATATAAATTATTTGAAATGTTTGCAAATAAATTATTTTCTTAGTATATGTGCAATCTTTCTTTGTTTCCATAGGTACCCAACCAATCCATCTGGGCCATGGGCTCTCAAATTTACTGATCCAACAATAGAATTTAATTGTATGATCCAAAATGATACATGGGCCTGTCTGCTTCCACTTGAACTGGGTATATCACTTTTTTTTTTAACAATAACAAATTTAAAATAAATTAAATAATGGTCGAATTAGGGTTCCCAGCATGCCTATCTTTATATCTATGAGAACTAATGTTATTTTATATCTGCGAAGCTGCATCAACATCGCCGGCGGCGACAACCCCTTCGTTTGATTTTTATTTTTGTTCTTTCCTTTTTGCATTTGTTTTGTCCTTAATATTGTTCTTATTGTTGAGATTCTGGTTAGATAGTTGGTGGTGCCTTCATAATCCCAGATAAGCTGTTAATTTGGTTCTTATCTGATTCATAGGAGGCCCAAATCAATCAATGGGAGTTTCGCTGATAACGCCGTCGTTTTTAACTAATGTTCGAGACGGCGTTTAATAGTAGCTTTGCCATACATTATTATGCTTTTTTTTCTTTCAATTTTTGGGTTTAGGTTAGTTGATGTTGTTTTTTTTCTTCCTTTTTTACCTTTGTCGCAAAAGGAAAAACGCTCTTCTTTTTTGCCTGACAATGTTTGAAGTTGCTAATCACTAAAAAATATGGTTCATACTATTAGTTTGTAAGAACTGATTGCAGATCGAATGGAAAAGTGAATCCGCTTGACAAGCGGATAATGTCAGTGATTATAGGCCATATAGATTCAGCACTTGATTTTTGTTTTTGTGTCACAGTAGTGCTTGAATTTTTTAACTTTTTCGGTTGTTAGTTTTAAGTTATCCTCAATTAAAGGTTTACTTTTACATTATACTAGTACAATACCCATGTATTACATTAATTCTAATGGGTGAACGAAGTTTAGCCTAATTCAAAAAGAGCATTGCCCATATTTTGTTGTGGAGGTGGAATAAAGGCATACATCCTGGGTGGGTAGCCCGAACAAATCTATGGAGCAAGGGGGGCGAAGTAGGCTTCGTTCTCTTCTTGACCAACAAGAAAGCCGCACAAGTCAATACGTAACCTACGAAAGATCGTTTGTGGGTTTGGGTTCTGTAAGACTTCCACGCAAGCCCTCGGTCACCGGCACCTTCTCATAGAAAAAAGGATTTTTTTTCGTCATAAAAAAAATGGAAGAAGTTAACTTTTTGAAATGAGAAAGTAATTTGAAAATGAGTATGGTTTTAACTTTTAAGATGTAATAACATAACCCTCCAAAACATAACTACAAACAATAACTAATACATGTTGTCTCCATATCAGGTAATTATCATCTGATAGGTTAACATAAACTAATTAGCTCTGGGTTGTTAAATGCATATGTTAGGATCTCCTATGGCTTTTGAGTTTGAGAAAGTGAGAACACAAAAGGAAAGGGAAATCATAATGGGGTATTAGAGACAGGTTTCTTAACCTGCTCTAACAAGTTCATCGTTGTTCATTTCAATAGTACTGACTATTTTTTGTTCTTACAAACAAGGATTAACACAATTTTTACAGTTGTTTTGTTAGTTGCATCCTTTAATTTAATAAAAAATGGCTGCAAGACATCAAAACGTATTTTTCCTCTCAAATTATTTCAAAGTTGTGGTTTTAGATTTTAGCTTGGTTTGCAATCTCCTTGATTTCTAGCTGTGAAGTCGGAATTTCAGTCTTTTTCAATTTATTCTATTTCGAAAATCATCACTTTTGCTAACCATTCGGACAGTCTTTTAACTTTTGATTCTCTTACACACGTATATGGATGTGGTCAACTCTTGAGTTTTTGAATATTATGTGCGTCTTTTTATTTTTCTGTTTCTATATTATTTATCTAAAATTGTTCAAGATTTGCTCCATTTGAGTTCTTTTATCTTAGTTATAGTTATAGAACAATTGAAAGTGGTCTAGGCTTATTATTTTCTTTAAATGGGAAGGGGAAAACTTGTCAGAATCAAAATGGGGGATCTCACTTTTTTGTGTAGATTCTTCTTTGGTCTTAATCATTTTCGTCGATATATTTTTAACAATGCAACAATACAATGCTACAGACAAAAACTTTCATTAGTTTTATTATTGGGATGGTTGTGATTTTAACAATGAAAACTTTAGAAAATCTTATTCGCAGCTTGATAGAAAAATGTTTATTAGGAATTATTTTCATACCATCTGTTTGTTTCTATATATCTCAACTTTGGTTTAATTAATTATGACATAAGTTTTTCACTCATGGAATCGTCTTGGGGTTTTGCAGGTACTTTGTGGATTTGGTTCTTCAAAACTGCCGACCTTTGTTTAGGATTGTTGGATCAACAACATTTGCCACAGCATAAGGTAAATTTTGCTTCTAAACTCATTTTGTTTTAGCAAGTGTCTATATGCTTTGTTTGATTTTGTTCTGTGTTTACCATGTATGATCAAGTGAAATCTATTAGTTAAGTGATTATATAATTTCTGGTATGTATAGTAAAATCTGTATAGCTAAATATTATGTTTTATTTATTATGATATTACTTATGAAGGCATAAATTCACTATATAAATACCTTTTGGTTTGATTTTGAGTGTTTCCTAACTGATTGTTGGTATATCTCCCAAAATCAGAATCGACCCCTTTTGAAAGTATACAACAAACTTCAGCAGAAACAACTTCAAGCCCTCAGAAAAAGTCCTGCTCGCCCCGCAGAAAACCGACGCTGATGCACCCTTACCTATTATATCTGCCACTTTTCAATGTACAAGACTGTTTAACTAACTTTTGGATTCACAGGCCTGCTACATATGAACTAAGCCATTTATATTTTGTTTATTTGTACCACGGAATTTAAAACATCTATATATATGTAGATATTTCAAGATTCTGTATGCAAAATATTATCCATGGCATATCATGCAGGTCACTCATCCTTTTGTAATCTTTTGTAATAAAAAATGATAAAGTTCTTTGGGCTGGCTTGTGACTGATAATTTTGCTATCTTTAGTATCTTTTGTAATAAGTACTGCTAAACTTTAAGCTTGTTTGGACTTCCTGCAATTCCAACGGATGAAAACATCTTCATTTCATGTTTGTATATATTTAGTCTTCCACATATAATGAAGCCAAATATTAATCAGTCATAATAGCATTAATGCAAAATTTGAATTCGGGCAAAATTGGGCCGGCTGTGCTGTATACAGCGAGAGCTTCCTAGTCTTATAAGAAAACCATATTGCTCCTTCTTTGCCCGCCACGTGGCATCTTCCATTGGCTTCCATTTCAATCAAAACGACACCGTTTTCGGTCCTGTTTTCCAAACTTTTTTTGTTCTCTTTTTTTGATCTTTTTAATTGACTAATTTGACAATTTTATGCCAAAAATGGCGCCGTCTGAGAGACTTTATTTCGTTTTTTCTTTCTTCCCCTTTTTTGACTTCCGGTTGAAAAATTAAATTAGACTGAAATACCCTCATTTTATACTGCTCATAGAGGCTATTTCGTCATTTACAGACGACAGCTTTTCCCTTCTCGGCGGAATTTACGCCCGCACGCAATCTGATTTTTACTTTCAATCTACAAGACTACACATCAAATCGTGCTTTATACGAAAGAGAGAAGATCAATCTGAAACCGTAGCATTGAATTATTGGCCCGAGTTCATCGGTTGTCTTGCAATTTTCTTGGCTTTCTTCCTTTTGGATATAATCGGACTTCCCAACCGTCGCCGGCATGCCATCCCCGCTCTCAATGCTCAGCCACACACTGCTCTCGCCACGCTCAGTGGAGCAGTCGGCCGTTCCAGCTTCTGTTCTATTAGCGTCTCTTCGACTGTTGAGCCAAAATTGCACCCTCGATTGAAGGCGCCGTCTCCGGTAGGAGGAACAGGAAATTGCAGCCGTCATCTACTTTGCCGCCGGCGAAATCATCCCCGATAACGTTTTCCGATAACATGGAAATGGAAAGGTTTAAGATTGTCTGCTACAGTCTGTGCCGCCGTTGGCCTACCAGAGGGACGATTTGCAGGCAGAGCAGCATAACGGAATTATAGGATGTGTTCTCTACTGTAAAAGATCGTACAGTTCTTCATCTGGAGGTACCGTTTGGTCTTTTTCTATTTTATCTTAATATTTATCTTCTCCCTTATCGTAAATTCCCTCTTCATTTGCTTCCATATTTTTTTTTTTGGGGCCAAATTTATCAAGGTCGAGGTAGTTTTCCAATGCATTCAGTCGAAAGATCTGTATGGGAACTTCGATATTGGACTCTATGTGGAATGGTTTTTGCCGAATTGTCTTCTATCACAGGAAAATTTCGTTAGCCTTCTTCACTCTTCGGTGGGTATCTATTTCCTCATTTTCTCAACCTCTAGGTGCTTATTTATTGATTATTTACTGAAATTTTGTTATTCAACAGTGCAATATAAATTGTTTGGGTTGCGAAAAAATTGATAATTAGAAACTGATTTATCGATCTATTTATTTTGTAAATTTCTCATGGCTAGAAGAGCAAGTTCTATAGCCCAGGCGACCTGATTCTTCATGTGTCCCGATTCAACGGGCGTCCTCTGACGAGGCGTATTGAGGGAGAGCGTGAGAAAAGAATTCAAGGTGGCTTGTTTCAGAAGGACCCAGAAGACGTGACGGGGCTGACCATCGGAGGAACAGAAGCTGCAGGTTGAGAATGAGAGTAATGAATCCCGTCAGCGATGATTTGTTTTGGTGGTAAGTGTAACTAATTGGGTTCGTTCATTCTTTTTTTGGATTTGTTATTGTGATAATTGAAGTGGCAATGGGAATTGCAAATAATTATGCTTTCAAATTTGAAGTCGTGGGATTTCAATATGTTGCTTTTGCACATAAAATTAGTTTTTACAACATTTGTTGAAGATTTATGATTCTTATGTGTATGATTTCTGAGTCTGAATACGAAATATAGGTATTGTCGATTTTATAATTTATTAGTGTTGAACAATATTCAAAAGAAATTCTAGAACTGTGGAATCTCAGTGTTTGGTTTCCAGGCAAGGTCTTCATGACAGGTATACTTTGAGGAAAATGATAGAACCACATACAGAGGTATGCAAAAAGGAGAAATTAATGTATTATATGGAGTTTTTGGCAAATGGACTCATCAACTCTGAGGTGCCAGCTGAATGTGCTTGAAGAAGAATGTCATCCTCTTCAGTTGGCTCGCTTGATCAACATAAACATCTAATGATCTTAAATTGGAATATAAATGGTTCTGTCTATGCACACACATGCAATGCGTTTGCTTGAAGTGAAAATTTATCTGGTACCACAAACTGTAATAGAAATAGGAGTTACAGACTTACAGCTAACAAGAATCTCATCCTGGATGCTTCTGTTTTTTTCTTTAGTTTGGAGAGAGCGTCCGGCTTGGCTGTTTGGTGGGAAAAGGACTTGCGGTCGAAAAATCTTACAGATAGAACCTACAGCAAAAAATTGGGCTCTCGTCGATGTAGAAGATGGGGTTTCCGACGAGGCAAGGGCTGCAGGGTATGTAGCTGATCCTCATGTATTTATTTGAAATTTCATAAGGTAGCAACATCGGGATTTGCTGATGAATTTTGCTTGTTATCCTCCGTATAGTGCAATATGGGAATAGTGCAATATGCTTCCAAACTGAAGGATAATTTCTTGCACGTATTGAGTTCCATGTTTTCCTCCTATTTTAATTGTCGTTTTGTTGTCATATTTTTCAAAACATAAGCAGGACTTAGGATGCATGAAAAGTCGCTGTGAAGTAGTGTGAGATGAATCAATAGTTGCCGCTGCAGTTTATAATAGATATTGAATGGATAGGGTGGACTGGATAATGATGTTTTGTGCAGGATCATTGTACATGCAAATGTGAATATTTTGACAATGTTAGACTATGCATTTGAGTGTAGCTTGCACAGTCTGTTACTCTGTTCTTTGTGAGTGTGATTTGTTCATGTTTAACTATGCTTGACTGCCGCTTGGACTGCATTATTTATGCGGGTGATTTTTGTATGTTGTCTTTCAGGTGTGTACTCTGTGCACACAACAAATGAATATTACTAGGTCCCTTTTCATGACCCAATATTTGTTTTAGAGTTGTAAATCAGGAAACCACAGTTGCTCATTCAGCGAATTTGTCCATCGCAAAATCAGGAGTACAGAAATTCTTAGTGATACAAAGACATTCTCTTTTTATTCAATGTAATTGAGACTTTATGGCTGGTCAGGTTTAACAGTCTCAGAAGCACATGGAGTACATGAAGAAAAAACACCCAATTGCCAGGTATTGTTTTCTATTTAACCTTCTAATTAATGGTTGAACGCGAGAGCAACTTCCATAATGCTTCACTACCCTAAATGGCTAAAACAAAGTTCAATTGTAATTTTCTTCTGAGCTCTTGCACAGGGGACTGTATACTATGCAGGCGGAGGACATTTTCCGCCACTCATTTCTCAGGGCAATTAGTGAGAACACTGAACAGCTGTTTAGAAATATGATTTCTGAGCCATCACCAAGGATTTTTACATTTGAGTTGTTGTAGGTACGTTTCTGTGAAATGTTGATGACTGAGGTGATTTATATAATTCTACTACCTTACTTCTTATTTATGAGATTGGAAATTGAATAAATTACAAAATAATCAAATACAAAGAACTGCAAAGTCAAGCTAGCCCAAAGCTACCTCTTCGCTTTGCTCAAGTCAAGAGAAAAGCGCCGCCTGGACTTTTATGAATTCAGTAGTAATACACTTCAATTTATTTGTTTATATGCGTATAGGAGGATCCTGTTACCATTCACCATTGTTGGCTGACTCCAACTAGGAAACGGCATCTATAATATAGATTATATTATATTATCATTGACCTCGTTACTCTGTTCCTGAACATAACTGATTGTGGATTGCAAGTATCCTTTGTACTTATTTAATGATGCTCATATTATTCTTTAATGGAAGGAGAGTTCTGAGGTGGGATCTAACAAAAAGACTAGCACTCTTGACAAATACTTGGTTATATGGTGCTTAAGTTATTTATTTGTTTAGTTCTCCCTCTATAAGACTTCTAACTTCAAGGAATTTATTTTTATTTTCTCCCTGGATGCCTTTTTACATTTTCTGTTGTGATCTAATGATGCAGCTATTGCTAACCGTTTCCCTCAATTGGTCTCTGAGCAAGTCATGAAGCTGAAGCAACTAACTGTGCTTACTCTGGTTGACACTAACAAGGTAGTTGCCATGCATCTCTCTATGTGTTTATGGGACTTTGTACTGCATACTCAATATAAAATAGTCATATGTTTAAAGATCAAAATGTTTTCCCTTTGAACTAATTATGATACTTTTGTAGAGCTCTGGAAAGTCATATGACGTACTTTGTTCAAGAGCTCATGTGATTCATAACACCAGACATGAAATATTGTATAATAGAGTTGTATGAATAAAACTTACATAACATAACTACTCTCTACCAATAAACTTCAAGAATTATATCAATCAACTAAAATTTATCTGCTCATGCTTTTTTAACTCCACGTGTTGGTTGTTCTTTACAAGCATGAAGTTAAACATCAAAATTTTGCATGTATGAATATCCCTGTATAGTTTTTTTTTTCTTTTTTTTTTGTTG